GCAGTGCTAATTGAGTACAACTGGCATTCATTAGCCGTACCATACGTTGTGTTTCAGTTCAATGTCAACGAGTATATAGTTTTGTGCATTTGTTTGTCATTTGCATACAGACTGTAAGACTCCTCTCTCACTCTCTCTCTCTCTCTCTCTCTATTCACTCAATACAATACAATAGGCAGTGAATGGCTTTGGGACGTCATGTGACTCATATGTCGCATACTTTTGGCATTTGTTCGCAATGTGTGATCGCAAACACTGTTACAAATCACATTCAATACATAATTTATTTTTCCAGTAACTCAATACATATCGAAATAATTAATTAATCACAACAAGGACTAAATAAAATAAAATAAATTGACACGAATAAAACGTTAATGAAAAATTGAATTCACAATTAAATCAATCGCATACCAAACCCCCACCCCCTCGCACTCCGTCCTATCGTACGCGACAATCCGTGAATTCTTGGGACCCCTCCCTCTTCCGGCACGTAATTGATGGACAGCTATGGGAGAACTCAACGGACTGTTTGGTGGGCTTATCCGTGCATTTGGTTTGAGTGCAACAGTTGTCACACAAACCAGTGAATAGAGTGGATGTGGTGTTCAATGCGTTCAACAACACACTGACTGTCTGTATGTCAGACACAAAATGTCGACAAAAACACTGAATCAAGAGATCGAGAATGTAATCAAAGCCACTGTTTATTTACATTTTGCCATAACGTAAACAAATGTGCTCAGGGTGTTAATGGTCTGTTTGTTTGTCTATCCCCTGCTCACAGATCGACTCGGATTTGTCAGAGCTCTCCAAACTGGAGCTCTTGTGCGAGAGGGACACCGTTCGCACCCAATTGGCCACTGAAGTCAATCGACTCACACTCCGGAGGAATAAGTTGGTAAAGCAGTTGACGGACTCGTCGGATGTCGGCTCGCAGGACAGGCCGTCCACCGATGACGAGGACAAGGATGACCTCAGCGGCGATCTCTCGTCAGGGATCAGCAAATTAATGGTAAGCGAGTGCTAAGACACGACTTCCCGCGCCCACTGACCACCATCTGATCCCATTGTCTCCCCAAAGGATGGCAACTCTGAACAGTCGGACGACGAGCTCAAAGACAAGTCGCTGCTGTTGTCGCCGAACGTCTCGCTGTCGCCGTCGAGTGTCAAAGAGGAGGGCTATGGCAGCGAAGAGAAGTCAGAGCACACGCCCTCCTCCACCACCTCTCACCAGACGTTCTCCCGGTTCTCGAGGGGCTCCGGGAGGCTGTCGATGGCCGGCAATCAGCTGGACGTGTGGGTGGAGGCGGCCGACCGTCAGCTGACGCGCAGTATTAACCGCAAGGAGAAGAGCGCCGCCGCCAAAGAGGTGTACAAACACTACAACTCGTTGCCGAAGCACATGAACTACGGCTCCTCCGGTGGCAAAGCGGGCCACCGCTTGCCGCTGTCCTCATCCGTGTCCAGCGATGACGCCCTCCGACACCGAGACGACGACCGCCACAACAATAACCACCACAACAACGGCGACGACACCAAGACGTCTGTGATAGTAGTGTTGGCCAAAGAGTCGGGTCCTCTCGGCATTCACGTGGTGTCCGAGAATGGGGACGAAGTGGGCTATTGTAACGGACTGCTCGTGCAGGGCATCGAACCGGGCGGTCGTATCGATCGGGACGGGCGGCTACACGTGGGCGACGCCATCGTCGAGATCAACGGCCAGAGCATACTGGAGGCCGACTTCGAGAGCGCCCAACGCATCTTCCGGAGCGCTCTGCAAACGGACGAAATCGCACTCAGATTAATGAAATACAATCAAAACGCAGGCAATAATCAAACCGTAGCGTCCAGTTCCCCGCGGAGGCCGTGCCCGCCGCCGGTGTTGCCAAAGCCGGCCACTGTTATGCGACAACACGAACAGCTCCGGCTGGTCGAGGGTATGGTGGAGGGCGAGGAGCGGGCCGTACAGCCGTGCAAAGTGGCGACCGTTACGTCCACGAAGAAGTTGACGCCGACCATAGCCGGCGCCCATAAGCCGGCCGTGAGTTCGGCGCTATGTGTGGCCAACACGAGGAAAATTGGCAAAAAATATCACATCCAGCTTAAGAAGGGCGCCGACGGTCTCGGGTTCAGTATTACGACGCGAGACAACCCGACGGGCGGCAACGTTCCCATCTATATCAAGAACATTCTGTCCAACGGGGCGGCCGTAGAGGACGGGCGGCTCAAGACGGGCGACCGTCTGCTGGAGGTGTGTGGCATCGAAATGACCGGCAAATCGCAGTCGGAAGCCGTGAATATCCTGCGAACGCTTCCGTTGGGGACGAGCGTCGATCTGATTGTGTCGCGCCAGGAGGTGGACGCCTCCCCCTCCCCGATGATGCCGCGGCGCCTGCCGCCCGAGAAGTCCGCCGACACGGCCGGCAATGAGCGCGAAGTATTGACTTTTGAGATACCGCTCAACGATACGGGCTCTGCGGGTCTCGGCGTCAGTATGAAAGGCAAGACGACGACGGCTACCGGCGTTCACTCGGATTTAGGCATTTTTGTGAAGTCCGTCATTCACGGGGGCGCCGCCTCTAAGGACGGGAGGCTTAAGACGAACGATCAGTTGATTAACATTAACGGCATTCCGCTGTTGGGTATGTCTAACAGTCAGGCGATGGAGACGCTGAGAAGGGCTATGATTCTGAGTGAGGGACCCATCGCTAACCCGAACGCCATTACAGTGACGATCGCCCGGAAGTCGTCGGCCACCGCTTCAGCGCCCGAAGTGGACAACAGTTGCCATCAGAGGAATGATTCCCTTTTAAGTGCCACAAGTAATGACTCGTGTAATGAGGAGTCATTTAGTGTAAATAATAGTAGACTAGACGATACGTATGACAGCTACCGTTCCCCAGCGACGGCCGAGAATACAGTGATTTATAGGCCCAAAAATGACGGCCAGGTGTCGAGCAGTAGTAGTAATAGTAAAGTGTCTCAAAGTGTGTCTTCGCCGACGGAGAAGTCGCCGCCAAAAACGCCAACAAATAGTCAGCCAACGAATCGGACGTTTTTAAAGCAGTTTTATTTGAGTGAAAATCACGACTCGAACCGAATCTACGATAAGACACCAAATGTTATGAACAGAAGTGATGTAATCATCGAAAGGGATGATTGCGTAGAGAATGGCGCCATTCATAGGACAGGTGTTGGTGTCGGCGGCAGCGGCGGTGGTGAGAGAAGCGAGTCGATGACGGAATCGACACCACGTGATAGTCAGTTATCGTTGGCCGAAGACGACGAGGGTTTCCGGCGCGACGGCTTCGGGCGTCAGTCGATGTCCGAGAAAAGGCACGCACAGCTCGACGCCAAGAGCACCGATACCTATCGGCGCAGTAAGAAAGCCAAAGAGGAAAAGGAGCGCCAACTCAGGGAACAGCAGCAAGAGATGGCCCACAAGAGAGACCAATCCGTCAATGGATACCAAACACAACAACCCGTGAATACTGAGCCAAAGCATGTCGTTCCCCACGAATTAGGTTTGTGTCCATTGATTGGCAACATGTTTGAAGTTTTAGCGTTTTTATGTCTAACTTTGATTACAGAATTAGATTATTAATGAAATTCTCTCTCTTTTATTTTGAATACCTGTTCCCCTAATCTATGGTATATTTCTGAAAAGCAGTCTCTAGTAGTCTATTGAATGCTAACCAAAGATCTACTTCTTGTGAGTTCTTAAGACTAACTCCTCGACAAACTAATAGCTGTTCTCATACTGAAAGTATGTATCCATTCATTCGCTTCTCAATCAATTCTTCGGTGTTTTTTGAACGGAATATCTGTTTATTTATGCTTTTATTTTTTGAGATGTATTTTAAGAAATTGCTGTATTTTTTCCTCACATTTTCCATTGATTTATATCTCGAAACCAAATGTTTATTCAATGCAATAATGTATGGCTTTATATGGCTTTCTCTTCCTTCCAATTAATCCGCAGCTGAAAGGGAAAGGAATGGTGTGTTTAAGGGCTGTCGGGAAGCACCTAAACCTCGCAATCAGTTGTTCTCCCCGGCGTGTTGTTGTATGAATTTTTTTGGTATTTATAGCACTTTTCCATTAGGTTTTCGCACCAATATTATGCCTTTTATTCTCATTTTATCAGTTGTTTTGTATGATTTGTAA